GGTCTTAGAACTCGTCCGGTGGCGGCATGCTCCCAATGAAGAGGGTGGAACAAGGTATGTAAGCAAGGTGAATAGGTTTTTCTCCATCAGTAAAAGTTCGAAATTGGTGTGAAACTAATTTCTCAGGCTGTCTCGAAGTCACACTCCTCATTTTTATAGGCATTTTGCTAGCACCTTATTAGAATTTGCAGATTATAAACGGTTATGATGCTTGCGCACACCGACTTCTTCATGCATTAACCGGTAGGAATAACCTATGACTATGTATGGTTCCCAGACAGAATAGCAGAGCATTCCTAAATCGACAGAGAATGTAACTGGTACGAGATGGTAAGTGGTTCATCGGGATCATGGTCCCTACTCCATACATTCACCATGATGAAATTTCTCGTATCAAATTACTGCTAGGGCCTATAAGGAACAGGTTATAATCGGTAAGGTTGCTGATTCCGCTCAGTTCAGCAGCAAGTCCCCAAAGGATTCAATAATATCTTGTCTTAAAAAACCTTAAAAAACATTTTGAAAGTTTTTCGAGAGGTTATTTGATTTTCTACGCACGGAAGGAATACATGTACTGAAGGCCTGGGCAGGTTTTGCTCTCACTTTCGGACACTTACGTGAATATTTATATATTCGGTAAATTTATTTGGAGAAGGCAGATGTCAAAAGACATTCAACAAAATTATCATAGCCCGGAATTAACGAACAGCAAAGTTTTCAACCCAGCAAAGAAGCAGAGTTATGGTATCTTCCTGTGCGGTGAAGTCTAAATAAGGTTAGTGAGGTTGTCGGCGCTCTCAAAACTGGGTTAATGGTTTTTCCTATTGCCATCAATAGGAACACTGAAAAGTGAACTTGAAAACCATTCAAGTGCTATTCACTCGTTCTGTGGGGTTGTATGAAAATTTATGGAAACCACTTACTTGTTTTTTTTGTTTAAGGATGCGAGTGGAGAAAAATACATCGCATAGTCACAAATTTCCGAAACGATCCCGAAAGTTCCTAAGATTCGGTCGTGATGAGTTGTTGTTTTGTGAATTAGAGGGATGGGTCTCCGAAGGCTTCATTGTTCCTTGGCTAAGTCCAGAAACAAAGCTCGTCTGATGGTAATGCAACAAACGTCTGATTTGACACCAATCTCAGCGTTCCATTCAAATGATTACAGAATCAGGCCAGCAAGACGCATACTATATATAAGTTGACCCAATTTTACTTACCCAGTTCTTCGTTGAGTGACCCGCAATGAACGGTTGCGTTCATTTTCTTCCCGATAGCATTCTCGCAATAACTTGCCCGCACTCTGTGTTCGCCTATGTCCGTAATGTCCGAGTTACTGCAGTCGAGTACGGTTCTGAACTATAACTCTTCTTCACAATCTGCCTTTGCCACAGTGTAAATATGAATCCGATTTTGGTTCGACGAAACACTACATCAGCCTTAGTCGTAATCATTGTCACAAGAAGTCCAGCCATATAGTCACCTTCCTATAGATTTAGTCCGATAACGAACAAGTCTGCAAATGAAGGGTGCTCTAGTAACTCACTCGGTATTGCACGTACCCTTCCCACCAGTTCAAAATACTGTGGAATTCCATGAAGCACCGGAATCGTCCTGAAGTACCTTTACGCGAAATCGGACCGTTCATCGTTTGTGTTTCGATTTTGCGTTGACTGAAACCAGTCAATGATCGTTTACAGTGTGGGGATTCTGTCTCCTCTCTAATGAGCCCATAGCATTCTCACATAAGAAAATCGCTAAGCTCCTTGAAGCTTGAAGAAGCTATTCCCGATGGCTTCTTCGGAAAGTGAACCTGAATGGATGAAGTCATCTACTTACTACATTTGTCGACGCGACTTCGTATACTCCGACATACAACGTAGTAAAACTCATCCGTTTCAGAAAAGGCTCAAAGATAAGATACCAGGTCAACTCTGATAATTGTTAAGATTTTCTGAT